AGTTTAGTAACTCTTCGCCATACCCCAGAGCCAACATTTCCACTAGAAGCTTTCTCTAGGTAGACTTGTCAGATGACACCCATGACTTCTACTCACGATGGTGCTTAACCACGTCCCAACTATCTTCCTTCACGCATTCATTGTCCGGTCGACAACCACCGTTTTGTTTCTGTATCGTCCAATGGTGTTCTCCTTGCTTCTTTACTTTTACTACCCTTCCGTTGTTTCTTTATACTATATTTGGTCACCAAACTCCTTTGAGTATCTTCTCCTTATTGTTTTCGTTCAAAGCTTCCGATAGAGTATTTCCCTGGGTAGGCTTTAACATACCTCATTCACTTCATTTGTTTCGATTGATGCCTGCATATGGCCTTAATCTCATAGTATGGGTTTTTAGTGGCTTAACTGAACGTGTCTTACTTATTCTTAACTAGCCGCTTCCTCTGGATGACATCCTACTATGTCGCTCCCACTCAGAGTGTGGCACCTTGGGTGAGGTAACTTAATGATTTCCTCCTTTTTGGTAATGCTTTTCCTCGTCGTATTCCACCATGCATTTCCTTGAACACGAGTCACCTACACATATTCTCAATCCTTCATCGGAACTTCCATGTGTTTCCTCGAATTCTCTGCCATTCACTAGAACATTTATTAAACATTCCACTTACTTGTCTATACTCGGTTGGCTTAATGACTTACTCTATAGCTTGTTCCGAGACCTCAGCTCTAAGCCCTCTAGTTCCAACTTATTAGAGAGGTTCCTCCTTCTGTCACCGCTCATGTACCCTAGGAGTCTAGGCTCTATTTAAGAGAGGACAATCCCATAACAGATCATCGTGAACTCTTGCATACCCCTTCCAACGGTCCCAACATCCTCCTGACCTTTTGTGATCTGGGTAGTTTGTAGGGTCTCTACTATCCTCCTTCTAACTCGGTGTTATCTTGGTATCCAACTCACACACTTCTGAGAAGTGGTTCTCTATTCGTACCGTCATCTACTTGCTAACTATTATTCTCTCTCACATTCCATGTCTTTTCTTACATATTGACTCCCCACCGTCTTCTATCAGGCATGCTTTAGACTTTGGTGGCACTTTCCTCCACGTCTCGTCCAATGGTGGTCGTACTGAGACCATAACTTGTCATCTACATCATTTACCTTGTTGCTTGTCTTGTACCTTCTTAAGGTTTGTCATTGGCCTAACTCCTCAGGGTTGTGTACCCTCTTCTCTAATGACGCAGTTTATCTATAAGGGTTCCTTTATCGTTATATGGATATGACCATGCCTCCTCTCCCCCTTGACCTGTTGACTTCTTGACGTCCTTTCAGACCCCCTCTAACCTACTTACTTCCTCCTTTACTTCATTTATACTACCCTAGCTTCTCTTGAAGTCTCAGCTCTCCACTGGTCCTTGTCACTGTGTTGTACTAGCGTCGAGCCGTCGACCACCTAGTTGAGGGACTTCTCATTGTACCTCTTCGTTTCTTGACTCGTTGCCACCTCGCAACTGCTTAGTGTCGAGGACCCTAAAATCCTCCTTTCATTATAGCCACTGCCATCTTTGATTCCTCGTACCTATACCTCGGGATAGAACTTTGCGATTGGCGCACCCTTTTATTAGGACTAAAGTTATTTATCTTAATACGATTAGAGTATACTGGAGATTCTATAGACTCTTAAAAGGAGACTCTTGACTCATTTTCCTTTCCTTTAAAACAAAACCTTTAAAAACTAAGACCGACATTCCAGTATTCCTTGGAAACCAAGGAACAGAGGAAGACCGGCTCTGATACCAAAATGAAACACCCCAACCCGGCCGGGTACTAATTTTACCAAAATGCCCTTGATGACTCATAAACCAAAATAAGAAACGAAAGACTTGTGAAAAAAAATGGAAGCTTTCCATAAATAACCATAACAAATACTGAAGTGAACTGAAATCTCTTAAAACAAAGCCCTAACACTTGGGCAAACCTCAACCATAGAATCTTAATCTGAATCTCCAGTCACTACTCATAATCGTAAATCAATAACTAAAACTCTACTTTGTTGTCTGCTTGGATACGATCTCTGGCACCTCCAGTGATGCTTGTACTATCCTCCTCTAATTGGCTTGCCTCGAACAGCTTTCTCGATCTCGCTGCTCACTAACTGCTCCTCTAGCTGTAACTATCGATCTAGTTCTCGCTTATTCCTTTACTAAGTCCTGGTGAGTGAGATGGGGTCAGTCTACGCCCTTACGTTTTAATAATTCTAATACTTGAGTATTTTACTTAAACACTTAACTTTGACTAGTGGAAGTTGTTTGTACTTCCAATCTTAAAATCCTAACTCTTAAACTTTGAGGGAGTTGAAGTTACTCTCCTCCCTTAAAGCTCAAATCTTGACTTAAATACTTGACTGACACGGGGATCCCTCACTAGCTAGTCCGGTTGCCAACTCATACGTATGAGAAGCCATCCAGGCTTTCCTTAAACTTAAACTTAGTTAGGGGAGTCGTAACGATTCATCCCCCTAACATCTTAAACTTATCGTGGTGGCTCTTCACCACGATTCTCAAGAGCATAACTGCTGCTCATCTTAAAAGTCTCAAGAGCATAACTGCTGCTCTATCTCAAAATGTCTCAAAAGGCAACGGACTGGCGCTAGTGACTAAAAACACTTAAAACGACTTCACCTTCTTGTAGGTGAGTTACTTCTTAAAAAAGAACTTGTTTCTTACTTTAACAATAACTTATAAACGGAAAGCTTTAAATTGACTAAGAACTCATGCACATTCACATCAAATCATAGCTCAACCAAAGCACATACTATCAAACATAATCATGCAATCTCAAACATGAATCAAACACTGCACATACATCACGTAATTCAAACTTGAAAATACTCAAAGCAAATACTTGAAAAACCGTAAGACGTAGAATTTACCCCTTTACACTCACCTCATTGACGAACTGTTTGCGAGAAACCATGTTTTCTCCCCTGATCTCCTAGTATGATATTCCAATCCATCCATAAGAAATCTCTGGATATCCTCCATCTCGCCTCTACACCATGACCATGACCATAACCAAATCAACTCAAGCTTCTGCTTGACTCAGTTCAAATTCCTCCATCCTAAAACACTAATTATTTCCCCACCAACCAAAAGCCAATCACATGTTTCCATCAAAGGGTAATCAACCAACCATTCCCTATCATTCTATTCATTTGGATTTCCCTTGATCACCACTTAGACGCACGAGTCCTCAGAAACCTAACATGACAATTATTAACCAGCAAACTCTAATTTGACCCTCTCTTACTTCCACGTCCAGTATATATATCATTCCATTTTCAATCCTTAACCAAAATCATACTCGGCATGTCTTCATAGCCGCTCAAACCATCCATCACAATTAACACTAATCATAGACCAGTTAAGCAAAAGCCATGCATGAGAACCCCGTTTCATCATGAATTAAGAACTCAACCCTCGTTGTCCGTGAAATAATCCCACTTCCAGTGTTTTACTCGATTGGCCCAGTACATTATCAATTTAATTATCATCGTCACCAGGATTGCAATGGAGGAAAACTCCTTACCTCAGTCTAGCTTTGTATGCAGTTTCCGCCTATCCCCCTCGCATGTCGCCGGTGGTCTCCAATCGTTAGTTCACGAACCACCGCTCGTCTCAAAGCCACGCTTTTATTGCCATCTCCCGACCCGCTACCTCTATGAGCACGCCCGTCCACCTTGATTAGCTAACCTTGAAGGCAACGTCGTACTTGGTCAGTAACCGAGGAACCCATCTCTAGCAGTTTAGCATATCACCCCCTCCGGGATTTTGGGACGTCGCCCGGCTGCAAGTGGCGGAGATGGGAATGCCCCTACGTCTCTATACTTTCGCATCTCGTCCGTGTGTGCCCTGCCGGCGGCGGTAAGAAAGGAACCAACGTATGGAGGTGTTGTTTAGGTTTAATTATGAGTACGGGGTGTAATTTGGGGTTAAAAGGAATAGTAACGGGCAGCGGAGCGGAAGTAACGGGTGAGAAACCCCTTCTAAAATAAATAATAATAATTGTTAATATTATTATTATGCCTAATTCACTATTGTAAACCTTTGTACGTAACTGTCGTCGATTCAACCGTCCACGTATTACGATTGAATCTTAACCCAAAAGTCGGGGTGTTACACGCTGGCGGATGGCTAGCATGCCCAGAATCCCCCACCGGTGATCTCCTCCTAATCTCAAAAGCCTGGGCCTCATCGGGGGATTGGAATCCATCCTGCTCATGGACCGCAGACTCAAGCCCATCGGCTTCACCATGAGGGCCCACGGGTCCCATTCCTGCATCCGCATCCAGCAGCCCCAGAGATTGGGTCTTCTTTTGCAAGCGGCGGCGACCCGGCCCAGCTTTCTCCAAAATCCCTTTTTCAGCCTGCTGCTTCATCGGCCCATTAGGGCGAGATGCCCGCTCCAGCTGCCCAGGAACTTCATTTTTCTTCAGCTCTCCATTCAGTGCTCCATTCGTTGCGGCCGGGAGCGGGGGATCGGCCAGGTTCTGAATGGGCGGAAGGGAAGAATCTATCGGCCCTAACCCCACGCTTTCCTCCTCAGACTCATCCTCTAGAACGATGCGGCGCCGTCGAGTTTCCTCGAAGATCACGTCCGGCTTTGCCTCCGATGCCCGATGGTTAGGACGAGTTCCCGCTCGGTCCCTGTTCTGCCTGTGAGCTGCTCGATCAACATGCCCCATAGCCCGAGGAAATTTCTTGCTTCGCATCTTTCTCCCGCCAATTTTTACAGAAGGGGCACCCCTGATCGAGAACCCCTTGGGGCTACTCTGCCTGCCAGGAGGTCTTGCAGCACGGTCCTCCTTCGAAGCGGCCGGGTTCCTCTCTCTTGCAGGACTCACCTCCTCCACAGGGTCTTCGACAGCCAAGGGAATCTGGCCCTGGGTAGCACCCATCTGCTTCTTAGCAGCATGGTTCTCTCGCCTACCCATATCGCGATCCTCCAAGATGTTCTTCGCCTGGGCCCTCCTTGGGCCACCACCAAGCATCGGCGCGCTCCTGTTAACCCAAACCGAAGTATGGTTTTTCCTGAAATTCCCAGTCTCATTCTCCTGCTCATAAACCCTTCTATCAATCTTGCGAGTTGACATGTGAGGACCAAATCTCTCTTTTCCAGCCGGGGGATCAAAAGCACAGGCCCGCTTCGAATGCCCCACTCGACCACAGTGATAACACAGCATCGGCAAAAATTCATACTTCAAGTTCACCCAGAAGGTATCAAGCTCTTCACTGGCAGCCCTGATTTGAGATCGCAATGGCTTTGTGAAGTCAATCACTGCCCTCACCTTCACAAACTGCTCATTGGTATCATTCGAAGCAAAGACACCGGATTCAAGAACTTGCTCAATGGTGCCCTGCCCCATCTTCTGACCAAATTGTTTGGTGCAGCAGTCTTCCCTTACATTCCAAAGCTGCACCCGAAAAGGGGCAGTGGCCAAGTCTTCAAATGTGCTCAAAGTGATGGTCGACGACCACGGCCGCAGATGGAGAATGGCATCTAAGACTACCCACGGGGTTTGTTTGAGAACCCAAACCCGTGCTTCAGTGGATGGCAGCACGATTTCAAAGAGGCCATGTTTGGCGAGGGAGACGCGAAGTTGGCCCTTGATTTGCCAAGCAACGATCAGTGCCTCACGCAGTTCCGCTGGTGTGACAATGGAGTCCGTGAAAAGGCGGCCCAGCAACGATCGAGAAGCTCGGAATTTCACCGATTGCACCTCTTCCAGGGAAAATTGAACTACCTGGTCTTCAGTAATGCGAACCATCGTAGTTTCCTGCAATGAGTTAGGGATAGCAGGGTCAGGCCTAGGCCACCACAAATCCCGGGGAATACTGAAATTCTCCTTAACAGGATAAGAAGGAAAACAGAAAGTTTGTGGCAGTGCTACGAGAGCAGAACCAACTGCAGAAGGGACGGGGGAGCAAGATTTTGGGGACTGCTCGCTATACCTGGCGAACTATCTCCTTCGTGCTTAGCGAGCTGGATTCTCGACCAAGTCGTCACCAGCACGTTCCACGCAACTGCTTTGTTCTTATGGGGTAGGGAATTGGCAGCCAGGAGATTGATATTTAAAGAGGGCAACCGCCAAGGGGATTGGCCGAGCCGTGTATCTCTCATACCGGGTTTTCCTGTTAGAGTTGGATTACAACTCTGATTCCCCAGGTTGGTTGTCAAGGAACGGTTTTTATTCCGAATCCCCCCTCCCCCCCTCCAATCCGATATCAATCCCAACAAATCCGGGTTGGGTATTTGCCAGGATGAGAAAATTTCGGTATTTCTCAGCTGATCACCGGCAATGACAACGTTGACCGCACTAGCCTCACGCTGCGCTTCGACGGCCGCCAGCGATTTGGGAATTGGGCGCAAATCCACCGTTCTTTTTCCCCATAGTTTTGAAAACATCATTTCCCCTAAGGGAACTTCCATCTCTCTTGAATTTCGAACAGGATCCGACCGCCAGGTCTCAAAAGAAGGCGTCTGCGGATCTGTTTTAGTTTGCACCCCTAAGGGTAGATTGCGAACACAATTCCCCCTGGACCAGGCATCCTCTTCTGGGAATTGCAATTACTCAGCCCCGGATCTTTGTCCTCCATGGCTGACGAAGGTGGTAACCAGAATCTCCACCCCGTAATGGCCGAAGCCTTCGTTTTTTCGAATCAATAAGATCGTCTGTCACGCTCTTATCCCTTTTTCTTTTGCGATTGCTCCCGTCATTCGCCGTCCGGTGAGTCCCACGACTCGAACACCTCAGGAGTGTTTTTCCGGCGACCCTCTTAGAACTTGGTAGCGTCGTTTGCACAACACGAGGATCACAACCCCATGAATGCTGCCAAGGCGCCTCTTCTTAAGTCATTTAATTTCAAATTACAAAATTTTAATTTTTTTTTCTATTTTCAGTTTTAGGATTTATTCCAGAAATAGAACTGTTTAATTTTCTTTTACAAAAATAGCAACTAACTCCGAAAATTCAAAAAATAGCACACTTTGCCAAAACCGCAAGGTGGGGCGCGGTTTTCAATGAAAAACGCATAGGTAGGGGGCAGTTTTCATGACCGCCTGGGGTCGAACCGGTTTAGTCCGAAACCGCTGCCCCCTGCGGTTTGGTCAATTTTTTTTCCGATAAATTCTAACCTAGGTGGAAACTTCAAACGAACGTATATTTGTGCTCGGGTATGCGATCGTAACAATTTTTTTTATCCCGCATAACTTTTTGAGATCTTACAAGTCGAAAACGCTGTAGGCAGTTAGGTCCCGCCTTCGTCCCGAAAAAATTTCGTAGTAAAAGGTGTAGGCCATAAAAAGTTATGCGGATTAAAAAAAAAAGTCATGACGTTCGTAGTGCGGAGCACAAAGTTAATGCCGCCCAAAGTTTGACGAAATTGAAAAGAGGCTCGTTCGGGGTAGCAAAAGACTTTTTTTTCGGGACGAAGGCGGCACAACTTGCAAGATCTCGAAAAGTTATGCGGAATCAAAATTTTTTTTACTACGATCGGATACCCGAGCACAAAGATATGTTTGTTTGAAGTTTCCACATAGGTTAGAATTGATCGAAAAAAATTGGTCAAACCGCAGGAGGTGAAGGGGTGCAGTGGTTTTGGACCAAACCGGTCCGACCTCAGGCGGTCATGAAAACCGCCCCTACCCGTGCGGTTTTCATTGAAACTATGCCCCACCCTGCGGTTTTCGGGAAATGGTGCTATTTTGGAATATTTCGGGGTTGAGTGCTACTTTAAAAAAAAAAAATTACACCGTGTTATTTTTCGACAAAATACTATTTTTGAGTTAAGAGTGTTATAAAATGACATTAATTACTATGTTATGAAGACTAGGTGAATATAAAATTTCTTAAATTACAATTCAGACTTATAATTTTATTTTTCTATTATGTTCTGATTGTTCTCTGAACGTCTCGTTAAATATTTTTACCAACTAATATCACTAGTCTAATAATTTCATAAATCATAACCATACAATACGAGTCAACATGTCCAATACATTTGGGCTTCTGATGTTGGTCGAACATTTGGGGAGCTTAAAGGGATGGGTCCAATATTAATGGTCTTCCAGAATCCAGAGGGTGATCTCGTGGGCCTTCATTGTTTTTCTTTGAAACGACCTTCATTCACACTGTTTCGTTATTTTGTCTTGACAAAATACAGCTGTATATTCACAATTATCAACGTTTGTGACAAATATATCCACAACTATCGAAATACACAAAATATCTAAAAATCGGAGGGTTGTGTGACAAATCTATCCATTTCCGTAACAAACTTTAACGCCGTTTGTTACGGCGTCAATTAATGTGACGGAATGCTGACTAGGACCATATCCATCCCACACGTAATTTCACATGTGGACGCCACGTCAGCAACTAAATAAAAAAAATTTTCTCTTTCTTATACTCTGGAGAAACGTGGCTGCATGCCGTCGATTGAAGGCTTCCCTCCGCCGGCAGGTTGGGGAAAGCTAGCATTCAAAGCTAAATTGAACTAAACCTAGCAATCCAGTAGTCGCAGTCAAAAACTTAGACCAGATACAAGAGATCATCAACAAAATTAAACTAAACAGCCAATCTCACACCAACCCAGATGAATATCTCAGTGAAAGAACATGCCCTAATGCAAGCAAAACCCATCAATTGAAACCCCAAAAAAGACCAAACCTAGATTGAGCTAAAACAAGAATGTCTGTACTGTAAGCTCATTCACCATTTAGAGGGGGCATTTCCAGGGAAGCAAAGTAAAAGAGGAGCAGATGGAGGAGACTACGAGCCATCGTGCATATCAATTTGGGCTTTCTCTACGCTAATCAGCTTCAGATGTGTGGAGGATATGCTTTCTACGAAGCCAATCGCCTTCGGATTTGGAGATCTGTGCTTTCTCCGGCGCGAATCGTTTTCAGATTCGGAGGCGACGGGCATAACGTGAGTCGATCTGGGGATATGTGCTTTCTTGGAAAAGGCGACGATACGACTCCCGCACCGATCATGCCTCCTCCACGAGTTCGTCGAGCGTTCAACCCGTTCTCTTGACCGAAGATTCATCTTGCAGCAGCGGCGCCAGCTCATGAGACAGGAGTTCCGACGAGAATCCTCTCTTCGAGGTCTGATTGGCCACGGCGGCGATGGAGGTCACAGTGAGGGAGAACTGTTCGCGAGATGGGAAGAGGGGAAAATGGAGATCTAACCTCCTCCATGAGAATGGACGCAGATCGAGAGATGGGAAGAGGGGGCTTGATTTTGGGCGGAACCTAATTTGTGTAGCCATGTAGGGATTGGGGGTCGCGACAGTAGTGGCGGAAGAAGGTGGAGGTGGGGATAAAGTATTGTTTTTAATGATTTTCATTTAAATAAATAAATTTTATTTTTACTTTTTTTATTAATCCACGTGGACTGGTGGGGACAATAAATTGCCAACTCGCCATTTTTCGTCAGTCCTGTCATACCATTAACTGACACCGTTTAAACAATGAACGAAATTGGATATTTCGTGTATTTCGATAGTTGTGGATATATTTGTCACAAACGTGATAGTTGTGGATATACAACTGTATTTTGCCTTTTGTTTTCGAATCCTATACTGGATTCTTCATGTCACTAGGATGGCCCACATACTCCTCGAGATGTATTATTTTGCTAGTTCACCAATCAATCAATATGGGCTATGGGAGAGACCTTCAGGTTAAAGCTTAGCGAGTAGAAATGCGAACTACAAAAGTGTAAGAAAATTTAGATTTTTCGGTCATAGCGTCGATACAATAGGATTTAATTAATACGACTTTTTGAGGAAATTATTATTCTTCCATGCTTTTCAAGTATCTTATACATATATTGATTTGAGTGTTAGAATGCAGGTTAAGGTTGATCTTGGCCTCTTAATAGGTTTCATCCACACCTAAAAATATATCACATAAAATAGAGTCTACACAGAGTTTATCCAGATTATTATTCTCAAAAGTAGAAAAAATACCTCAATGTTTCAAGAGCTACATGCATAATCATATGATCAATCTCGCCAATTCTATCCAACCCCAAGTACAAAACCAGAGCTAGAATTACATCCATTTCCGACCAAAAGTGAAAAAAGTTTTGTTGACTCCCATCATACTAAGCTATGTAGAAACACTCTCATAGATTATTATACATACATAATCATTTTCACAGTGATGCAAATATATTTGAATAAAACTCTTACTGGATATGAATTTTAGAAGAAACAAAAGAAGATCACTGAATCACATATGCCTCCAGGGGCGTTCGGCAAGGGCGACGCATTCCTCGTACCTAAAGCAGTCGACGAGGTGGTCGATGGTCAAGCCGGCGGCTTGCATGAAAGAGTAGACGATGACCGGCCCAACAAATCTGAACCCGCGTTTCAACAGGTCCCGGCTCATTGACTCTGCCTTTGGTGACCTCAGCGGCACGTTTCTCGGGTGCTTCAGTCGGCTCACCGTCGGCTTGTGGTTCATGTACCCCCACATGTACCCGCTCAATGACCCGAATTCCCTCACTATCTGCATTCACCAACACCCAGCTAGGTTGACCAATTTTGCTAATAATTAAGATGATGATGGGCAGAGTAGTCCGTAATTGGGTTTAATTGTTCGGTATTGAAAATAATTGGTAAAGGAATAGCATTTTTACTATTAGACTTGTGTTTACCAATAATAATAGTGTCTTATGTTCAAATCCACTAGTTTACCACTTATATATCATTGTTTTACCCAAATCACCTCGTCTACCGCTTATATATATATATATATATAATTTTACCCAAATTACCTAATCTACCACTTATATATCTTTATTTTATCCATACGCAAACTACTATCGAAATTGAATAATCATTTTTCTCAAAAAATTTAGCGATGTCCCGGAACAATAATTTGGTCTAGCGGTATTATCATTCATCTTCAATCTGTAAGTTCCAAAATTGAATTTCTTAAATAAAAAAACCTAATATATGTCGCAATTATTAAAAAAAAAAAAAAAAAGGTTTACCTTGAGAATGCATTTGGCATTGTCGACAATGCATCGGACTCTGCATTCAACTAAGGATAAGGTCTTGTCGGAGATGATGTCTGTGATTTCTTTTTCGTCCATTTTGGCCACCACATTTGGATCAAACCCACCAAATGCTTTCCTGTATACGTGTATCTATCAGGTATGATTAGGGCAATATAGAGACAGTAAAATAGATAAATAATTAATTAATGGTGGATTGAGACTAACAAACTAATTAAATTACCTGATGAGCTCCTTTCTCTTGAGAATTTCTGTCCAGTTGTAGTCCATCAACATACCACACAAGGAGAGAAGCTCAAACAATTGGCTGCACTCCAATTGTCAGGCACAATTACATCAGTTTGATGAATTGAAGGTAATACTCAACACAGGAAAAGCTAAATTAATTAATGATTCTTTGCATAATTCAGCAATTCAAAACTGTGTATCAAGCTTGCTTACTTGTCTTCGTAAACTGGAACTCCCCAACACTCGTCATGAAATGCAACATAAGCTCTGTCTGCACATATTTACCACATGTTATCATCACCACGTACGATGACAAAATCAAAAGCTGGACCAAAAAGAACTTATAGAAACTTAGAAGTAATCTTCTAATAAAATCTTTCCTAAAACGCAACAAGTTGTGACTTAGTTAATTATTTCCCTCTCTAACTCTACCTTTTGGGATAAATGTGTTTGCATCACATTGATCACGATGACATGTATATCTCAACTGCAGCCTAGCTAGCTAGCTACTACGTGCAACTAAAAAAGAGCCTTAAGCATCACGGGTTTCTTCCCCCTATTCACCTAACCCTAATTCATTTTACATCTTCTACACACGTAGAATTTGAGTGTTCCTAGTCTTTCGAGCTAACCGAATCGGGTCAGCATGCTGATGGGTTGGCGTCAAACGAGGATTAGTCCTATTGGATAGTACAATCCGCAATTTGAACCGTTAGAAGTTACGCGGTGATGTTATTTACAAAAAAATGTAGCCACGCTACACTTGTGTATTATAAATTTACGAGTTGATAGATAAAAAGAATTAGGAAGAAAAAACTTCATATAAGAACAGATTAAAAGACTAATAAATGGACATCATCACCAATTACCGCTATTCTTTGTAATCCAATTGCACCTCCTCGGCTCCCCACCACCATCTCGATCACCATGATCGTGATCATGTCCACCCACCGCCGTCGTCGGTGAATGTTCCCTCTTCCTCTGTCGCGGTGGGGCAATGAGGCGGAGGGCTAAGGAAACCTTGTGGTCGAGTGGGGATGAAGATGAATGGTCCGTTAGAGAAGAGTCATCGTTGGAATTTTGTGAAAGAGACAGAGAGGGTGAAGATGATGAATTGGATGAAATTGAAGACAAAGATGAAGAAGAGCTTCTGTACAGCCCAGCAGAAGGGTACACTTTTTTCAAGTGTTTGTATGAGAAGATGCTTGCAATGGCTGCTTGTTGCTGCTGCTTCTTGTAACTGTAGCAACACTCCTCTTCCTTTGCTTTCCTGTACATGTTGATATTGGTGGTAGGATATTAATGATATCTTCTTGGTAATAAGTTAAGATTCTTTTTCTTTTTTAATAAATAAGAGGATGCGGTTTTGGTAAAAGTGTTCAAGCTAAGGACTTGATGTGGGTCTTAAATAGGGAGGGGGAGGATGGATTAATCACATACAGCTAGTGATATGATGGTGTGTTTGGTTTTAGTTGATTAAATTTGATAGTGAGTGCAATTCAAAGTTTGGTGAAGTGTGTGTGTAGAGTTCTTTCTTTCTTTCTTCCATATTCTTCAATTGGGTTCCAAGCAACTTGTTGTTCATGAGGGGAGGAAAAGAACAGAGTTTTTTTTCCAAACCTTTTCATGAGTTGAATTTTGTATTAAGTGTGAGTTTGTTTAATTTTCTGATGACTGACATGTCAACTTTCTCCTTCACATATACTTTTAAACTATTAATTATCATATTTTTCTCTTATTAATTATAATAATGAAACTTGTAATTCATCGTGGAAATTTTAGTTTCTGTATTCTCTAGTTGTTAACTTGTTATTGTACTTTTTTTCATCTATTAGTTATCAAAGACTAGACCCGTTGCCAAAAGATAAATGAAGGCTCAAGTGATTCTTGCACACAAGTTGGTTTCGTGGTGTAGTTGGTTATCACGTCAGTCTAACACACTGAAGGTCTCCGGTTCGAACCCGGGCGAAGCCATTGATTTTTCCACAAGAAGAAGACAACTTCTTTTGTTTTTAGTACCAAACTTGGAGTTTAAAGGAATTTTTTTTTTGTGCAAAGAGTTTAAAGGAATTTTAATATATATGCTGATTTCTGGGCTGCATTATACTATGCAGAGCAGTTCCATGTGATGAATAGTTAACAATATTGTGCTCTTTTAACTATTGTAATTATGCAACTGGTGTATAAAAAATGTGTAGGTATGCAGTTGCAATGGTTTTGTCAGCTGATGATCACTATTCTTAACTTGCACTCTTCTGTTCTGTGATGTGTTTTTCTTTTCTATTTCATCTTCTTCTCCATGCCCATTTTTGGTTCAGTAGTGCTTGAGGTTGAGGGAAACAGATTGCCTGCATCGACAGAGATATTTCATCCCACATTAGTATTTTTTGGATATGGTTTCCCTTTTCCTCTACCAGCAAAACTAGTTAATGTGAAAAGAAAAAAAGGATTTGGAATCTGAATCGACTTCTTTGCAATCCGAGACTGCTGCAATAAGATCGGAAAATGGAGTTTTGGAGCCACATTTCTTTTATGTAACTGTAGGAAAGACTATATGTATATGATATCATGGGGCTTCTGGAAATTTGTGGACTGTTATATTTCTTTTCCCCAGTGATGTGCATTTCTCTCCTTAAATCTAATGAATTAGGTTGCTGCAAAACCAGGGGAAGTTATGAAGTAATGATGCTGTGACATTGCTGCTTCAACTAATTCTCTATGAGACTACTTATTATAGCTAAACACTAGTCCCTATAAACTTATCGTATGAGAAAGTAAGGCCATATTACCTTTAAAAGGATTTAGAAGTTGGTAAGCTTAGATATTTTGGTCTTGGTTCAGATCTAGTTAACCAGGAGAAACCCATAGCACAAGCTCCATCCCTACCGGTTGATAACTATACTTGGCTCAGTTAAACCTTTTTTCTTGGTAGCAATTGATTGTTGTTGTATACATTTTGCTAAGCTAGCAATTGGATGGGTACAGATACTTGTACAATTTGACATTCAATTCTCTTCTGATTAAGTCTTTACCATCTGTCATCACTTCATTTCTAGACCCTAAATATGATATTTTGGTTAATCTTAAAAACCAAGACTCGAACTTTAGTATCTAAACTCATCATCCATTGGTTTAAATATGCATGTGGCAATGGATGGTTCACATTTTCCCTAGACTTCTCGTCACTAGATTGATTTAATTTAAGTCGCATAAGATCATGGTTAGCAATTGGTCGGGTTGGGTCGGGTTTTGCCAAACCCAAACTCATGGGTATATTCGTGAAAAAAACCTAGGATAAAATTCACTGGGTTTGAAAAACTCAAACCCAACCCAACCCGCTGGGTATCTGCGGGTTCATGGGTACCCACAGAATTTTGTCGTAAAATATTTACAATAACAAGTTCCTATCAAAATTAAAATCAAATATCAATCTCTCAATACAAATTATTCATATATAAAACACCAATCTAGAAAATTCAAGCAAATCACAAATTAGCTATACAAATTGTTCAACACCAATCTAGAAAACTCAAGAAATTTGAAGCAAATCACAAATTAGCTATACAAATTGTTCAACACCAATCTAGAAAACTCAAGAAAATTGAAGCAAATCACAAATTATCCATAAATAACATGATTAATTGAAAGCTTCTTCCTCCTTGTCAATTAAGTTTCTTCACTCTCCACTCGATAACATCAACTTCATTCTACACAATTAGAAAGAAAAAAATAGACATGTCTCCACAAACATAAATAAGATTGGTTATTTAGAATATTAAATATACTGAAAAAATTAATTATATGGATGTGGGCGGGTACCCAGGGGCGGACCCAGGGGGTACACTCCTAAATTTTCGGAAAACGATTATCCAACCTCCGGTGGTAATTTACGTATGGACAAAACAAATATAATTGATAGTGAGGAACACCCCTTAAATTTGAAAAAATGATTATCCTACTGTCATTTGTGTATAAGAATATAAGTGGTAGGTTGGATAATTCAAATCTTATTAATAAACTTAATTTTCGTTGAGCTACAACTCATTTGTTATTCGATTTTGAACAATGTGTAATAGTAAAATGGCATTCCCTATCTCTAATTATTTTAAAAACCTAACAATTAAACTAATTTCAAACTAACCTTAATTTGTATTGATTTTATGATTGTATGGCAAGTGTTGAAAGAGACTTTCAGCTTTGTGTAACATCAAGAACAAGTTTACAAATCGAATATGCGATAAGTTCGTGAATGATTATCTAGTATGGTATATAGAGACAAATATTTTTTAACACTATAGACACAAAGTGTATTCTACAATTATTTCTGAATATGAAAGCATATCAGGGACTTGTTTAACCTGTGCGAGTAAGGTATTTTCATATTTACGATTTTATTTTTATTAATTATTTTTATTTAATTTATTTTTTAAAAGAGGACACCCTTATAGAAAATTTATGGGTCCGCCACTGCGGGTACCCATGAGACGGGTTTACCTAAACCCAAACCCAACACAACCCGGTGAATAGCGAACGGGTTTAAACCCAAACCCGGCCCAAAACCCGTCAACACGGATTTTACCCGCGTTGACTGGGTTGGGTCGGGTGGGCACCCGTGTGTTCGGGTTTTGTTGCCATCCCTAATTAGGACATCACACCACCACCAAGTAATTAAGTATAACATGGAGAAAATAGTATAAATTAAAGTTCGACTTTCAACTTTTGACATTAGTCCGCAATCGATCAAATAACAAACAAAACAGGTTTTCGGCACTTAACGTCGGATACTCGCTTGTGAATTACAAACAACTCTTAACCCGTGAGCAACTAGTTCATCAGTGGATGATACTTTCATTTGTTGCTATATGTGGTGTTTTTAGGCTGTGATAGGGCTAAGAGACCATCTTGATAAAAGTAAAATGTTTCCAATTAAAAAATGTGGCTAATCCGGAGAAATATGCTAATGTTTTGAGTGTCATTCGGATAACTTGCCAACTCTCTACCAAGCGCTACCCCTTGGTATAAGGGAGCGGATACTATAACAACACAAGGTGTGTTGTTATAGTAACAACAGGGTAAAAGGGTCAATTAACAAAATATAACAAAAATTGAAATTTGGACGAATTAAAACCCTGCTTCGCTACTCTTCCTCTTTCCCCAACATCTCCGACTCCGCCCATCCTCCAATCGCCGTCGTCGTAGCCATCGTAGTCGTAGCCGCCGTCGTAGCAATTCTCCCCCGTCGCCGCCCGACCGGGCCTGGGGATGACCATGGAGACGGCGTCGCCCGTGGAGAATCTGGCGGCGGGCGAGCTGTCTTTGGTTTCCCCGGGGTAGGCGTCGTAGATGCCGTGCTAGATCAGGATCGCCTTCCCCGGTAGAATCTTCCGGTGCCAGATTCAGATCGTTCCCTATGTGTTCATCTAATTCGTCTCCTCGCGCTTAGGGATGGCAATGGGGCAGGTTTGGGGCGGGTTTGCCTAAACCATCCCCATCCCCATCTTCAAATACCCAAACCCATACCCGCCCCATACCCATGCGGGGAATGTTTTGCAAATCCATCCCCATACCCGTGGGTTTCGGGTACCCATGGGTAATACCCATCCCCGTACATCCAACATTATTATACCTAAAACTTACAAGAAAAGTTTTAATTATAACCATAAACAAACCTATTATATCACGAAGTCAACAAAACACGGTCATTTTCTAAATACGATTCAAAGAATATGATCCTAAAACATCCATTAATACATAATATAGACTATAATATTTTTTAAATTATTATGCTCTAACTCTTGATACATTTACTAAGTAATAATTAACAAACATAATTTTGTTGACAAGGGGGAAAGTGAAAGAGTGGAAGGAGAATTGAGGGAAATGAATTAGGTTTTGATTAAGGTGGTTACTCAATTGCATTTCTACTATTTATTTTCTCGAGTTATCATCATCATCATTGATAGATTATAATTTAATCCACGTATGTTTTGATATGTGAAGAAATTCTCTTGGTGGGGCGGGTATGGGTATGGGTATGGGGCGGGGGAGGCTAAAACCATACCCGCCCCATACCCATCAAACCTTTTGCGGGTTTTACCCATACCCGCCCCATACCCGGTCTAAGCGGGGATTCCCCGCGTTGACTGGGTATGGGGCGGTCGGATACCCACGGCCATGGGTTTGATTGCCATCCCTACTCGCGCTGCCGGGCACGGCCTTCCTCCGTCGTCATCGTAACCATTAACGTCTGTTTATGCCACCAGAGACCATAATTTTCACCGGTTTATCCTCCTTGCCGTTGTCCCCTGTCCAATTCACTCCCATTTGATTTGAACAAAAATGTAATTCTCCCTCACTACAATCATTGATACTGAT